ATTAAAATTAAAAGTTAATAAATTTTTAATATAAACGCTATAAATAAAAAAATTATAAAAAGAATTATATATATTAAGATTTTTAATTATTAATAATTAAATAATAATAAAAAAAAAAGATAAAATATTAAGAATTATTAAAAAAATAAGATTAAGAATTTAAATTTAAATAATAGATAAGAATATAATTAAATAGATTAAGAGAGTAAAATAGAATAATAATATAAAAAATAAATCTTTAGAATAGCGATGTTTAAAAATTAATAATAAAGATTCTTTTTATAAATATATTTATTTAAATTTAATAAGTAATATAAATATAGTTTATTTATATTTAATAGCGATTATAATAATTATAAAAAATATAAAAAAAAAAAATTATAATTAATCTTATATAATCTCTAAAAATTATTTTATTGTTATAAATATTCTAGAATAAATCTATATTAATATTAATAAAAGAAATATAATTAAAATCTTTTATTTATTATAGATATATATTAAATAAATTTTTTATAATAAATTTTTATATAAAAATTACTTTTTAATATTAAGTTATAATTATAAAGTTAATAATATAATAAAATATATTTTAAAATCTTACTTTAGATTAAGACGAGGTTGAGATTTTAAGAAAACTCGAAACCTCGACCTGAAACCTTACCCTGACCTCGACCCCCATCGAAACTCTATCGAGATCTCTCGCTCTATTATATAGTATATATATTACTATATAATCTAATAATAAAATATCTATATCTCTAATTATAATTATAGCTATTAGACTATTTATCTTTTTATAATATATATATTATTTTAAATTATTTTAATTAAAATAATTACTAGTCGAAAAGATATAATATATCTTATAAAATATTCTATATTAAGTAATATTATATTATATTCGAGTATAGTATAAGTAGAGTTAAATATTATATTATTTTTCTAATATAAATTCGAGATCTTAACGGGATATATTACGATATAATATATTTATAATATTATATTATAAAATAGTATATATATAAAATATCTCGATTAGAATTTCTATATTTAGAAGTATAAGTAGCTATTCTAGTTATTATTCTTATTAACGACTACTCTCATTCGATAAATCCGATATAATAACTGCTATTACTATGGCTGTTACTATTATAGCTATTACTATTATAACTATTACTATTATAACTATTACTATTATAACTATTACTATTATAACTACTATCGAAATATAACCCCCGCGTATCTCAGCCATCGTATTCTTCAGCTATTTGATTTTGTACTATATTTAGAATCTGGCCTCGAAGAGGTTTTAAAGAATTAATTCGTTCGTTCTATATATTACATATCTGATATTTTAATAGCTACTACTATTATAGCTATTATTATTTATTATTTAAATAGTCTACTATTATATAATAGCTATAATAGTAATAGTTATAATAGTAATAGTTATAATAGTAATAGTTATAATAGTAATAGTTATAATAGTAATAGCTATAGTAGTAATAGTTATAATAGTAGTAGTTATAATAGTAATAGTTATTATATCGAATTTATCGAATAAGAGTAGTCGTTAATTAGAATAATAACTAGAATAGCTACTTATACTTCTAAATATAGAAATCTTAATCGAAATATTTTATATATATACTATATTATAATATAATATTATAGATATATTATATTATAATATATTTCGTTAAGATCTTATATTATATTAGATATAAGATTATATAAATATTAATATTTTATATTATATTAGAGTATAATATAATAAATTAATATCTTATATTATATTATATCTTTTCGACTAGTAAAAATAATATAGATTAAAATAATTAAATAGAATATACTTTTTTTAATTATTTAATTATTTCTTAGCTATAGTTAAGTTAAAGAGATTATTTTTATTAATAATTATTAGATTTAAATTATATATATTATAAATAGAGATTAATCTTAATTAATTCTTATTATTATTCTTTTTTAATTATATTTTTAATATATATATATTTTCTAATAAATATTCGATTTTCTATTAGTTTTAATTAAGCTTCTTATTAATATAAAAATAAGTTTTTATATTCTTTTTAAGTTAATATACTAGATAAAAAGCGCTAATATTAGAGTTATATAAAGATTTATTATATTTTATAGAATATCATTTCTAGATAGCTAAAATATTAATTTTTTAAATTATTTAATTTATAAATAAAGCTATTATTAGTTTTAATTCTTTTCTAATATTATATTATAAAAAATTTATTCGCTAATATTCTAATATAAGATTTTTAATTATAAAATTTATATTATATTCTTTTTTTTAATTAAGATTTTAATTAAATTTTTAATTTTTAAATTTATAATCTATTTAATCGCTATAATTATTACTATCTTTATTATTAAAACTTTAATACTCTTAATAAACTTTATATTTATAAAAGTCTTTTAATTTCTTTCTTAATAGAAAATTATAAATAATTTTAATTTTTTTATTCTTATTCTTAATTATAACGCCTTATTTATTATAGTATTAAAATTCTTATATAGATTAATTATATCGATTATTATCTTTCACTTCTTTTTAAATATTATTAATATAAATTTTATCTTAATTTTAATAGAATTTATTAATAATATTTTTAAGTATTTATAAAGTAAGACTTTATTAATTATTCTTTATATAATTCTTTATCTATCTTTAATCTTTAATAAATAGCTCTTATTTAAGATTATATATTCTTTTTTTCTATATAAAATATAAATTTTTAAGATTATAAATATTAGCTTTTTATAATTATAAATATTATATATTTAATTATATCTTATATATTAAATCTTATTATTATATATTATAAATATATATTTTACTTTTAATATTTAAAATATTAAAATAATAAAGCTATCTAATTATATCTCTTAACTCTCTTTATTTTATTATTCTTTATTATATTATTTATTATTAATCTATTTATTATTTTTAAATTAGCGATATTAATAACTAGCGAGAGATAGCGCTTTTATTTTTTCTCTATTATCGTTATTATTTAAAGACTTTTTATCTAATATATTTTAATAATTATTAATCTTAGATAAAGATTTCTATTATTATCTTCGATTTTCTTTTTAATCGCTATCTAATTCTTCATATTAAATATCGCGATATATATTTTATATATTATTTTTAAAAACGATTTTCTAATAATCTTAATTAATTAATATATCTTTTTTATTTATATAATATTATATTTTAATATCTCTTTAGTCTTCTCTATCGTTACTTTTATTATTAAATTCTTACTCTTTATTCTATTTATAGTTATAAATTATCTTATATATATATATTATTTTTAAATACTATTAATAAGCTTTTATTAGTTATTCTTTACGTAAACTCTCTCTTTTTCTTACTTCTTAATCTTATTATTAACTATCTTATTCTTTTTAGATTTTCTATTATAATTATATTAGATATTAATTAAATTACTATTAGATTTTTTATTAGATTTTTAAATATTTAATTAAATAAATTATTTCTACTTTAACTATTTATAAAGAAAATCTTTCTTATTAATATACTCTTTTAATTATTTATTAATATCTATAAATTTTCTAATCTACTTCTTTCTTAATAATCTCTTTAACGATATTTTCTTTTTTATATAAACGCTATTATCTAATCTATATTATCTTTAAAAATCTTTTTTAATAAATATATTTAAATTTTTAAATAATATATTTCTAATAATTTTTAGAGATATAATTATTATCTTAATTTAGATTAATATATTTTTCTTTATATTTTTAATATTAAGATTTTTCTATAGTATACTTAACTATAATATTATCTATTTTATTATATTTCTTCTCTTTAAAAAAAAATCTTCTCTTTCTTCTATACTTTATCTTTATCTTTATTTCTTTTATATTTCTCTATTATAATATTAACTATATCTTACTTACATTTTTTAAACGCTTTGTCTTCTATTATCTATTATAATAAGTATACTTTAAATATCTTTATTATTAAAAGTTATATATAAGGGTTTATAATAGTAGTTATATTAATAATAATACGCTATATTTTATTTCTAGCTTTAATATATATTATTATTTTATAGTAATAGATATAATAAGATCGATAGACTTATTAAAAAAATTAATTTAGATATAGATTTTTAGTTAAATAATACTCGATAATTAATAAGTATATATAAGAGTCGACTTAAAGCGTTATATTATTAGATATTAATATAGACTTTATATAAACGTCTAATAACGTCTAGATATTCTATAAAGTAAGACTAGATATTACTATTATTTATTAAAGAATAATATAATATAACTTATATATATATATAGTATAAAAGATATTAATTATCTATATACTTATAGAGTAGATATATATAAAGAGAGACGCGTTAAGACTTAATTAGAAAGGTATATTAAGTATAAAGAATTAATCTATAATAATTATTTATAAAAAATAGAGAAATACTATATTCTTATAGTAAGAAGTATATATATATGATTTTTTAAACGTTAAAAAGAAATAGAGATATCGGGCTAATTAGTAGTATATATTTCATAAGTTCTTCTATCGTAATAAAAGCTTTTCGAATAATAAATAGATATTAAAGTAAGATATTTGTCATGAGATGCCTCAGGGATACTCATAGGGCCACTAGCGTAGGCTTGGCACCGCACATATCTACTCTGCAGGCACATAGAATAATCAACATCTTTTTACAACCACACACATATATGAGTCAAACCATAATGATTCCTTAACAATTGGTAGCAACACCTTAAGATCTAATTCCACTTGATCCTACGATGTAGTAGACGTCTTCACGTCTACACCATACGTTTACGCAAAGCCCACATCAACACCTAATAGTGTGACGCTCCAAGCCGGACCTCCAACACACTCGCAGTCATCGAGTACCTTTTGACACCGTCCCATCGATCCTTTCACTAGGCCGGTCGATATCAGAATGCCATACGAATTCCTGCAGACCCTACATGAGCAGTACCGCACCGAGTACTACGGCCCCTGGCATACAAGAGAATGCTACCCATGGGAGTACGACGTCAAGGCCCAAGAGTGTATCCAATTGGCTAGCAAATCAGACCCTCAATTCTTCCTACAGCAAGCCAAAATCCTTCAAGACCGAGCGGCCTACATACGTCAAGAATGGGCTAGACAAGAGGCCTTACAAGCCACTCAGTCAGTCACTCAGCCAGCCACTCAGTCAGCCACTCAGCCAGCTACTCAGCAAGTCACTCAGCCACCTCACCAATCCACTCAGTCAGCCACTCAGTCAGCCACTCAGCTAGCCACTCAGTCTGATATTCTACAAGAGGAGGAACTACAACAGGCAAATGCGGAGAACACTGCGGAGAAAGCAAGCGGCAACAAGGCCCCCAGCACCAAGAGCACGGCCCACCTCTCCAAGATCCCACGTCATATGCTCTCCACGGTTCCACGTCAGATCGCCACTCAGCAAGCGGAGAACGACACTACAATTTGGCCTGCTATCTCTGCGTGCCTCGACAATATCACATTGTGGTACATCACTGCAATGACTACACAAGAGGAGGATCTACTGCGTCGATCACAGCCAATTGGGCCACTGCAGGAGGAAGATCAATGAGGAAGATCGGACGATGCATATTTGGACGAATTGAAACCGTCCGATGTCTTGCTCTGACAGTCATTTCATTGTTCGGGAGGTTTCACTACGGCAGGAGAACTCGTGGGATGCACACCACTAATTAGCCCGGTGTCTCCACTCCTTTCCGGTTTTCGAAAAGCACACATGCATGCATGCATACTTCTTGCCATGAGGACATGGCATTTCTCTGTTTTTTGTGGGCAATTGTTATGAGATGCCTTGGGGACACTCATAGGGCCACTAGCGTAGGCTTGGCACCGCACATATCTGCCCTGCAGGCACATAGAATAATCAACATCTTTTACAACCACACACATATATGAGTCAAACCATAATGATTCCTTAACAATATTAGACGACTTTAATTCGTTTAAATATATATTATTTAATCTTTCTTCTATAGAGATTTAATTAACTATACTAATTTAGCTAAAATCGTTATAATAGATTCTTCTCTTACATATTTATTATAGTAATATTCTATATTAATTAATTAATTAATTAATTACTTATATACGCTTCTACTCGAATTATAAAGAGTAATTACGAGCTACTATATAGGTGATATATATATTTATAAGAGAAATCTTATTTAATCTCTTTAGACTAGAATAATAACTCTTACTTCTCTTTCTTTCGCTATCTTTACGATATATTTTAATTCTTCTATTATATTCGTATCTTAAACTTTTTAATTTCTATATAGAAATAAGAGACTAAATTATAATATCGTTCTTCGCTTATTAATTAATAATTTAACGTAGAATTATAGAAAGCTAAGCTATATTCTTAATATTAATAATCTTATTATCGCTTACTTTCTTTATAATACTCTTCGTAATATTCTCTATATTTATCGATTATAATTTCTTCTTTTATTTAATTAAATACTTTAATAGAGTACTTAATTAAATAGATTAATAAATTAATTAAGTAATTAATTAAATAAATAATTAAATAAATAATTAAGTAGATTAATAAGCTAACTAAGTAGCTAGCTAAGTAATTAATTAAGTAATTAATTAAATAGTTATTTAAGAAGTTATTTACGAAGTAAATGTGAGGTAGTAAGGTCTCTTTTAATGGAACTGCGTAGCAGCTATGTAATCACGAGGTTGATAGAATAGATAGGTTAGTTGCTAGATGAACTGATAACTAAAGAAAGAAGAAGGGGAAAGGGGACTCGCAAGTATTTAAGACTTTATCAAGCATGTTGGATGCTCGCCCTAGCTGCGGTGCCCCCTCGGGGGTCACCCCTGCGTGGCTGACCCGTCGCCCCCCTATCACCAGACTACCGTCTTCGCTGCGGCCCGCTCTGGCGGAGGTATTCGTTTTACCTTATAGATATGAAACGGTATAAGATATCTTGACTAGTATATGCTAGGTTATATAGCTAATATAAATAACTACTTATCACGCCGTCGAACTTCGATATAACGCTATTATCTTCGCTTCCCCTTTAATTACTTCTTTCGCTATCTCTTATATTAAGCCTTTTTACTATCTAATAAATTTTTTAAATAAAAAATTATTTTTTAATATAAGAGAATAGATAAATTAATATTAGATAGTTATAATTATATATATAATTTTAATAACTACTTTACTTATAATATATAATATTTTAACGACTTAAAATAAATTTATAAATCTTTTAATTATATTTATTAAGTCTTTTATTTATAATTTTATTTATTTACTTAAATTCTCTACTACTACTATTTTCTTAATTTATCTTATTTTTTAATTTCTCTTAATAATTATATCTTAATTTAATTTTATTTTAAATACTAATTTATATAATTTCTTTATTTATTTAAAGTTCTTAATTATATTTTTAATATTAATAAAATACTTTATTAATTCTTATAAAAATTTATAAAATAAAAAGTCTTTTTAATTAATAAGATACTTAATCTTACTCTTATAAACTCTTTTATCTAATATCTTATTAATCTCTTACTCTTTTTCTTTATTAATTAAAACTATTTATAATTTTAAATTATTTTTATATAAATATTATAACTTTAATAATAATATATAAAATATAAAATAAATTTTTTTATATCTAGTAGAGAGATTTAGTTTATAAATCTATATATTTATTTTTTCTAATACTTTAAAAAATCTAAATTATTTATAATTAAGTTTCTTTTTTAATTATAAAATATATATATTTAAACTTTATAATAATACTTTATTTTTTTAAAAATTATAATTTTATAATTATTATTATAATATTTTACTTATTACTTTAACGCTAGCTTTTATAATTCTTTTAAATATAATCTTATCTCTTATAATTATTCTACTCGCTCTATAATAAATAATACTTTCTCTTTTAAGATTTTACTTTTAAGAATATTTTTTAAATCTATTATATATCTTATTAATAGCTCTTATAAAATCTTATTAATACTTATATATATATTATTATTATATATAAATATAATTATTAATAAAATTTTAAATTAATTATTTTATTTATAATTATAATATATTTATAAATAATATTTAAGAATTTAATTTTATCTCTTAATCTAATTATTAATCTAAAAATAAAATATAATATTAAATTTATATTTCGCACTTAAATATTAATATAGTATTATTTAAAACTTACTTATAAATAGAGAGTTTTAATTTGAAATAAAGTTATATATTATATTATATAATAATATAAACTCTTATTATAAAATATTAATAAGATTATTAATCTTTAAATTCTTTATAATTATAATATATATTATATATTTAATTAACTTATCTATTAAAATTAAAATAATATTATAAATTTTATTAATATATAAATTTCTTATAGATAATAAGTTTATAATAAAATCTATTATTATAATTAGTGGCCGAAAAGATATGAAATTTTTTAAACTTAGAATTTTTTAACTTTTACTTCTTTTCTTTAAGAATTTATATCTTTATAATCTATTTATAAAATCTTATAATTCTTAAAGTCCTATAGCGAGACTAGTCTATTCTATACGAAACGATTTTAAAATACGATAATTTATATATTAAAATATCGAGTAGGATTAGAAATATCCTATACCTTTTGAAATGATATCTCGAAAATTATTTAAATTTCATATTAAATATTATACCTTTTCGGCTAGTAATTATAATAGAAAATAAATTTATATTATCTAGTAAGATTAACGCTAGCTCGCTATATAACTTATAATAATAAAATTATATTTTTTAATAATCGAGATAAGTATAAATATACTCTACTATATCGCTTATTATATCTATTTAATAATACTTAAATCTAATATTCTCTTTAATATACTTATAAATAAAGTATTTAATATTAAAATTATTATAATTTATATAAAAAATCTCTTTCTTTATAATAAAATTATTAGATATATAAATTATAAAATTATAATATAATAATTTATTCTTATTAACTCTTTATTTTAAAAGCTTATTTTATTTAATAACGTATTTTTAATATTACTTCTTATTTATAATAAAAGCGTTCTTACGTTATAATTTAAATAGTTATATTATTATTAATTCTTATAACTTTAAATAAAATCTCTTTAACTTTAAAATCTAATAAATTAAAAATTAAAATAATATCGTAATATTTAAAATATATATTTATCTATTAAGTACTCTCTTATTTAAATTAATAATTTAAATATCTATAATAATAATACTATTTAATTATTTTATTAATACTATAAATTTAATTATAATAAATATACTATTATATTTTTATAGATTAAATTTAATATTTCTAATTACGAAGCTTATTTTATAAGATAAAGAGAAAATTATTATTATTATTCTCGCTATTATTTAATTTAATAATATTAGATCTTCTTAATAATATATTTATAGAGTTAAATTTTCTCTTATAATATTTAATTATAAAATTAAACGTAGTTAATTTCTTAATCTAGCGAATCTACTTTATATTAAATTCTTTTATTATTATAAAATAATATAAATTATTATAATCTAAATTTATATAAATAGAATACTTATTATTTTATAAGTAACGAGTAAAGGTCTATAAATTAAATTTATAATTTTTTTTTTAATTAGAGCTATCGAGTAAATTTAATAAGCGATCTTTAATAAGCGATATTTAAGTACCTTACTTTTTAATAATTATAAGATTAAATTTAAAGATTCTTTATTTATTTAAAAGCCTACATTTTATTCTATAATTTAAAAAAGAAATAATAAAATTATAATAGAAAATAAAAAAGTTATTTCAAAATTAAATAATATATATCAATTTTTTAATTAGGGCTATTCCGCTGTCGAGCGAACTCTAATAAGCGATATTTAAATTCCTTGCACTTTAATAATTATAAGACTAAATTTAGAAATTTTTTTTTATCTAAAAGCCTATATTTCGTTCTATAATTTAAAAAAAAAATCTTAAAATTTTAATAGAAAATAAAAAAGTTATTTTATATATTAATAACGTATATCTAATTTTTAATAAGAAGACATAGAAGAGCGAGATTTTAATAATTACGAACGCTAATTTATTTATCTATATAACTTAGTCGGTCTAGTTAAAAAGTATATAAAACTCGAATTTATAATTAACTATATATATAAATTTAAGATTTTCTAATTTAACTCTATCTTATTCTTTTATATATATTAATAATTTTAATTTTTAAAATCTAATATAATTATATAGAGTTTTTTATTATATCTATTTTAATAAAACTTAATATCTTTAAATTTATAATTAAAAATTATAATAAGATATTATTATTTATCTTTACTTAATTAATTAAATATATTATCTATATCTATATTAAAAATATTAATTTTTATAATAAGTTATATTTTTTAACTATAATATTTTAATATAGATATAATAATAAATATTCGCTTAAGTATTTTAAAAGCTTTATATACTTTCTTATTAAATATAAGAAATTATCTAATTTTATCTTTTTTCGCTTTTTAAATTAAATTCGTTAAAAATATAGCTATCTATAAAAAACCTTATATAAATTATTAATAAAAATTTATAAATTTTAGAAGAATTAGAATATTCTTAATAGACTTCGATTTTAATTATTTAATAATAATTTTAATACGCGATAACTCTATTTAAATATTACGCTAATTTACTAAAAATTTTAAGAAAAAATCTTATTATAATTAAAAGTATATTTTAATAATTTTATATAAAGTTAATACTTTTAATAATATATATAATACTTTATATATATACTTTTAATATAACTCTTTTATTTTAAAATAAATTAATATATTATTTAAATATATTATATAGAAGATATCGATATATAATTTAAATATTTTATTTATATAAGTTTAAAAAATTACGAAGATATTTACGAGATTAAAAGATATTATTTAATACTTAATTAACTTAAACTAATTATAGCGAGTTTAAAAGATAATTTTTTACTTATCTTTCTTTTATACTCGTATTTTATAATATATATTATAAATATTAATCTTAATAAAATACTTTATATATATAAATCTCTCTAAAATTTCTAAAAATAGTAATAATAAGTAATTATTCTTAATAGTTATCTTATTAAATTCTTAATAATTAATATATAATTATAGCGAGCTATTTAATTTTTTAATAAATAGTATTAGCGAGTTAATTTAACTAGTTAAAAATCGAATTTATTTTCTTTTAAATATAATATTTAAATAATCTCTAATTATTATAAATTTATTATATAATATATTATAAATTAAATTATTTTTAAATAGCTTTTTAAATAATAAATTAATAAAATACTTAATTTAATTATATATATTAAGATTATTAAATATCTCTTCTAAAAAAACTTCTAATAGATTTTTAAATTATTTAGATATATTAAAGTCGTCTAATTATATAATATTATATTATATAACTTTATTATAATTATCTTTATTATTTTTAAATAGAATTTAATATAAAAATATAATAAACGCTTATTTTAGATTATATATAACTACTATATTAATTAATAATATAAATTACTTTATATTTATTATTATAATATCTACTTACTTTTTATTACTTATAAAAGAATTATAATAAATTTAAAACTACTCGTACTAATAAAGATTTAAATTAATATTATATATTTATAATATATATCTTTAAGATTTACTTTTACTTTCTTTCTTAATTATCTATAAAATTAAAAACTAGATTATACTTTTTATATAAAAATATTTAATAATTATTAATAATATATATTATTATTAATATATATTATTATTAATATATATTTAGATTTAGAAATCTATATTTTTTTAATAAAAGATTATAATATAAAGATTTTCTTATTATCGATATCTATTAGAATAATTATTTTATACTTCTTATTTAGCATAATAATTTTATCTCTTAATAATAAAAAGCGAGATTATTATTTAATTAATAACGTATTTAATACTATAATAATAAATATTAAACTTTATCTTTTCTCTTATTTAATTTATAATTATATACTTTATTACTTATAACGTAATTTAAATATTTAAATAAATTCTTATAATATTATATTTTAATAAGAGATATTTTAAACTTAATATAAGAGTTATTACTTTTAAATTTAATTTACTTAAACTTTTAATCTTATAACGCTAATAAAAATAAACTCTTTTTTAATCTTATTAATTCTTTATATACTATTCCTTAAGCTTTATATATTATTAATTACTATTTCTTTAATTACTTATTTTATTATTAAAGCGAGTCTTATCTAGAATAAAAAGCTCTTTTATTTTTTATAATCTTTACTTTATATTTTAATATTATTATAATAATATAATATAAATAATAAATTAAATAACCTTCTTTATAGCTTTTAAAAAAAATTTCTCTATTACTCTATCTTATAAAGCTTTTATATATTCTAAATTAATTATATAATAATCTCGCTATAATTAGAGTATAATAAAATAATTATTAAAGTTAACTATCGATTATACGTCTCTTATAATCGCTTTAATTAACTAATATCTTATATTATAAAATTTAATAATTAGATTATAAACTTAATTTAAATATTATTCTTTATATTTTATTTAAATAAATTCCTCGATATCGCGTAATATTATATCTCTAATATTTCTCTAGATTTACTTCTTAATATTTATTAAAAGAGTAAAAAATTAATAAATCTTTTTTTTATTTATATAAAAATTAATATAAAATATTAAGACGATAAAATTATTATAATTTTAAAAAAATATAATTATCGAGCTATAGTTATTAAGATACTACGTATTAGATATTTTAATAATACTTATTTTTTTATAATTTAAATTATAATAATAATTATCGCTATACTCGCGATAATAATTTTATATATTCTATATTTTAATTAATTTAAATTTTTTAATAACTAGCTACTTTTTAATATTAAACTTTAAAAATTAATAGCGTTAAACTTAAATTAAGTTTATAAAATAAAAATCTTTATCTATAAATAAAGGGTTATTAGATATAACGCTTTAGCGATTATTATTTCTATTAATAATATTATTAGAATTTTTATTAATATTAGAATTAATATTATAATTACTTAATTATATAATAAATATATTTTAATAAAAATTATTTATTAAATTAAAAACGTCGCTAGTAGATTATAGCGAGATATTTTTATTTCGTAAATTAATAGAATTAACTCGCGAGTTACTTATTATAACTAAATTAAATAATTTTATATAAATAAAATTATTAAAGTTATAAAATAATAAGATCTCTTTTAATAAAATTATATAGTAATTATATAATTATAAGATTTAAATATATAATTAATAGAATAAATATATTAATTATTAAATAAATTAATAATTAAAGAAAAAAGAAGAGAAAAGAAAACTCGTAAGTATTTAAAACTTTATTAAATATATTAAATACTCGTCTTAGCTATATAGTTTACAGCCTAATAAATAACGTAAGCGAGTCTATTAATTCGCTTCGAGTACTTTTACTCTTATAGTAGATAAAGAAGGCCTTAATCTAATTTTAGCTATTCTAATATTTATTCTTTCTTTTATAATAGTTATATTAATAATTATAATAGTAAATATATTAAGAATAATACGCTATATTATTACTTCTAATTTTAATATATATTATTACTTTATAATAATAAATATAATAAGATCGATAGATCTATTAAAAGAATTATTTTAAATATAAGTTTTTAGTTAAATAGTATTTAATAATTAATAAATATATATAAGAGTTAAATTAAAGCGTTATATTATTAGATATTAATATAGACTTTACTTAAACGTCTAATAACGCCTAGATATTCTATAAAGTAAAGCTAAATATTATTATTAATTATTAAGAAATAATATAGTATAACTTATATATATATATAATATAAAAGATATTAATTAACTATATATCTATAAAGTAGATATATATGAAGAAAGGCGCGCTAAGATTTAATTAGAAAGATATAGCGAGTATAAAGAATTAATTCGTAATAATTCTCGATTCGAATCTATTAATCTCTCTCGCTAAAAAATTCTAAAATTCTAGAATTATAACAATTGTAAAATTATAAAAACTATAAAAAGTATAAATTTAATAAAAATTCTATAAATTTAAATAATAAAAATAAAAATAAACTATTATAGATATTAAATTTAACTTCTTATTAATTAAATCTAAATTAATATAAAATTAATTAACTTTTTAAGAAACTTATTCTTAATATAACTTCTCTTTTTTCTATTCAAATTTTACTATTATTTTTATTAATTATAGAACTTATTTTATACTTTCTAATAATTTAAAATTTATAATATTCGATCTTATAGTTCTAAGTAAATCTTAAATTAAAGTATTTTCACGCTTCGAGAGTCGAATTCAATCTCGAAATTAGATTTAAAAATTAATTACTTATATAAATAAAAGTTTAAACTTAAACTTATAGAGAGATAGATAACTTTAATAAGTATTATTTATATAATTATTATATTAATAATAAACTCTTTATTTAAATTATTCTCTTTAAAAGCTATATTATTATTTTTTCTCTTATCTATATTTATATATAATTTTATTTTTACTTTAAAATATATATTTAGATATAAAAGTTTTTCTAGCGTTAAAGAGTTTTTTTTAAATTATTTTTAAATTTAGAAAGATTTTAGCTACTTTAATATTAAATATACTTAATTATATATCTATATATCTACTTGTGTATACGTTATTTCTGTATGGCCTCACTGTTTGCGAGCACTAAGGACGACCTATACCTGATCACTAGATATGAAGCGGAATTATATAGGCTATGAAGGTTCAGCTTCCTAGAACGATATCAATGCTTATTCAGCTCCAGGAATGTCTTACTGGTATTCCTGCCGCCTTGAAGATAGCGGAATTACCACCGCTTTCAAAGTCATTTAAAATCGACGTCGCGTGTTATCAGATTGTCTTCGCCCGTCTGAAATCCTTGTTGAAGGGGATCTTGCTCGATGTTCAATGTTGCGAACACCATATGGTCAACATGGTCCCTGAACTTTTCCTTGGCTTTCTCAAAGGAATCCGGTGGAGACGTCAGTGAAGGTGTACGTCTTGTACTTAGGCCGACCGGTCTCGTGCTCGCCATCCTGCAACAATGTTTCTAGAACAGACACTGTCGAGCTTCCCGTTCCCGCGCCAATCTCGAGAATTTTGAGTGAAGGATGCTTATGAGCAAGAGCATCGAGATACGGCTCTGTCATCTTCAGACATTCGTAAGAATCTTTTGTCTCTTTGTAGTATTCTGTCGCCAGCTCGCCAGCGAAAAGAAGATCAAGGGCGTCGACGTTAGGACATACCCGCTTGGGCGGAAGAATTCTAAAGCCGGTCAATTACTGTTGCTACGTAAGCTTTGTCCTACCTGAGACATACCCAGTCTGGTCTCCAGTGTATCAATTCGTCTCGAGTGAACCTTTCGCTTTGCTTCCTCTCCATGTGATGTATTGCTGAATGTGAGGCTTGGGCAGGTGATTTCCTTACAAATCAATTCGTCCAACGTGCTCGATAGGAACAAGAAGCAAATGAACTCCATGTCTATGATAAAGTTCTCCGGAGGAAGTCCAAATGGCATTGAGAACCTGCAGTATGCCACCTCTTGCTTGCTTAGAAGCTCATTGTTGGGGCGCCAAGCAGAATTGAAGCAAAGACGTTTCCAGAATTATTAGATGATGAAGATGATTCGTCTCCAACTACTGTGGCCTGGAGTCCTTTGATCGCCGCCCTAGTCGTGTGGGTGATGTCGTCCAATGCAAGAATTATACAATCTAAAGAGCACATATCCTTCAGAGATGCTCATGCTACAGTACAAATGTGGGTGTGATGTGCAAAGACTCCCAGTGCCAAGCAATATGCATCTGCAGTGTACCAATCATCGGGTTTCTGCATGTGTATTAGTCATCGGAATTATTGTTCTACCTTCGTGGTTGGTGGAAGGCTAGCATTCCCAGTGAAAGAGTGATGGCCCCTCCTGCGCACGTTGATGATTATTACGACATTCTCAACATATCGAATACTGCCGCTGCTGGAGAAGTGATCGCTAGTTATAGAAGACTAGTAAAGATCCGGCATCCTGACAAAAAGCGCGGCTCGACAGATGCGTTTCAGCAGGTAAGTCCCACCAACTTTCCAAATTACTTGCCACAATAAGAGCAGCGACTGACTCTTCTTCGAAAAGCTCGGGAAAGCTTATGAGATCCTCAAAGACCCTGTAGAACGACGTGCGTACGATTCGGTATGGCCAGGCATCAGAGATCGTCTAGGAACACAGCACCAATCGGATTTGCGCCAAGCTGAAGCTGCGGAGGCAGAAACGCGGAGGGAGGCTGAAGCAAGGGCGAAGAAACAAGAGGAAGCAAGAAAGAGGAGGGGAGCTGAAGCAAGGGCGAAAACAAAAGAGGAAGATGAAGCAAGAAGGAGCAGGGGAGCTGAAACGAGGGCGAAAGATCTGGAAAATGCAGGACGACAGAAGTCCTTCAATCTTGGCGAGTGAGCAAGGCGAGATACGACAAGGATATCTCCGACTTACATCAGCACACAACCACGCTTGAAAAAGACTTGAATCAACTCGAGGACCAGGATAATGAAGATCCCAGAATTGAGAAGGAGCAAAATAGCTATCGGACATACTTGAGCTCATATTTCTATCCCAAAGCGAAAGAAACCGAGGAGCAGAAGCAGGCGAGAGAGAATGAACGTATACAGAGGCGTACAAGTCGTCGCTTCAAAGAGATTTTGTTAACAACGACGAAGGGCAAGTTACAGAGACAGCGCGATGCACTGCAACGCGTCATCGATCAGATTGCCGCTGAGGAGGAGCCAGTAGAATATAGCAAGAAAAAAGAGGAGAGTGGAGGGAAGTGGAGGAGGAAGACAAGGACAGAAAGGCGGAGGATGAGAAGAAGAAGGCGGAAGAAAAGGTGAAGGCACAACAGCAAGAGGAAGTCAAGAGGAAGTCCGAGAAGCACGAGAAGGTTGGGAAGCAAATGAAAGGAGACGGGCCGACAGGGAAAGAACGATGAGAGAAGCTCCAGCGGAGCGAGAAGCGCAAGAGCGCGCACGGAGGGCACGGACCCTCAACGTGAGATTTGAAGCGGTGGCGCAAGCAGAACGAGAGATCGTCGGGCATGCTCTAAAGTCCAAAAAGACGCACAACGACTGGGTTGAACCGGCGTCAAGGAAATACTGCCGGCATGAGAATCTCTGGGAGATTGTCAGGGGCGAACAACCCTGTGACAAGTGTTTTGTTGTTCAAAGCCTCTCTCAAGAACACTCGACGTTTCAGTGTTCCAGCTGCAAGACGGTGGAGTGTTGGCGTTGTTTCAGGAGAGTCGATGAGTGAGCTGGAGAAGAGATCAAGAAACTACAGGGGTTGAGCTATGAGGTATGACGCATGTAGCATTTGCATGGATTGCGGAAGTATCTGGCTTTGCCGAGCAATGGGACATCCACCCGAAAAGATGTTGCTTTCCACCCTATATCGTGCCAGCCGGCCGAGCTCCTCGTATATTGCTAGTACCTGTGAGCAATCTCGGACCCTTCGTGTATCGCTCCACGAGAAGCCACCTCAAGTCGTTGGAGTACCGGGAGTCTTGTTTCCTCGAAGTGATTGTCCCACTCTGTCAGAACATGGAGAGTTGTCCTGCCCTCCGCACGCGATTTACAAGGGTCTGCACCTTTCGCCAGAAGAGATTCGACGACCTCACAGCTCAGTATCCTGGATTTGCTACTGACAAGGCAATGGAGCACCGTTGAACCATCAGCCATAACCGCATTGACATCAGCTCCGTCATCGGCAAGGCATCGGACTGCTTCTAGCGCACAAGCGTCCACAGCAACGTGCAAAGGTGTCAGCCCAGTATCAGTTCCCATATCATGTGCCTCATTGAGTGGAGCTATTTCCCTACTGAGTACAGGCTTGCTCGAATTGTTCTTGTCGAGAAGCCAATTACGGCTTTCGTATTGTTCCTCCTTGCAGCAGAATGCCACACAGTGGAGCCCTCGAAATCCCTTGCACCAATGTCAATACCTTGCTGTAAGAGCAACGTGAGGCACTGAGATGTTTCTCGTCTCACAAAGTAGTGTAGTGCTGTCTTTCCTTTCTTATCTCTAGCATTGCAATCGGCGCCGCGCTCTAGCAATTGCTGTACAATCTCGACATGACCTGCCTTTGCAGCGTAATGGAGAGAAGTCCGGCCTGTACTCTTGTCTACCGCGTCGATTTCGTGTATGTCGTCCTGTATTATGTTTCGGACGATGCTAAGATGTCCAAATTCGGCAGCGATCCGGAGAGAGCTGCATGAATCGGTAGCTATAGTCCGACTAGGCACTGACGCAAAATCGGGTCGTGCAAGCCCCTTTGGTGTTGCGGAATGATCGGCATCTGAGGCCAGTGCTTGTATCTCTTCAACGACTCCCTTATCGGCGCTGTCAACTTTCGCCCAATGACGCAGTAACGCAGCTGTTTGTTGAGCATTGTTTTGACCTTCTCAAAAGTAAGATAACATGAATGGATATGATGTATTTGGACTGTTGAGTCGAAGGTTTCCCCTTCAAGCTGGCACACCACTAGATGAAGGCTGTTGAGCATGCCATAAAGAAGACCGATTTCCGAGGACAAACCGGATTTCTCTTTGGGGCATCCTTGACAGCCTTGATATACTTGAATGTTCGACGAAAGGCTGTATCAGCGATTGTGATGAGACCAGCAACGCTGGCGGAGATGGAGAGCAGATCGGCCATTGCGTCTGGTGGAGTGGTCAAATCACAGCTTGGCGCTGTCGTTCGTTGGCTCAAGGTCTCTCAATAAATCGATATGCATACTTGTAGTTCTCTTCTTCTAGGCGCAGACGGTTATATCGAAATCCTCAGGCGATAAGATCACAACGAGGAACGAATTGGCCGACATTCAACTAGACATAGACGGTAGGAAAAATCCGAGTGTAAGACTGTGAGAGCACAAAGGATTTAACTGCGCCGGCTTTGAGGAAAGGAAAGAGTCGGCAAAGGCAGCGCACAAGGCGACACCGTTATACTCAAGGCTGCATATCGAGTCGTTGGAGGTTATAAAAGCCCCACGTTAACGAGCTGATCTACCAATCACGACGTGCATACGCGGGCTGAAGCTCAGCGATCCATAATTGTGCTATCGGAACACAGCCTATCAATCAACAACTCGGTCGGCGGAGTGAATATAGAACTCTGTCGAGGGAACCCAGATAGGTCCATCGAAACAATTACTGCGACCGGCAAAATTGAGTATGAATCGTCCACCATACTCAAGTTACGTGTCCTCCCTCTCCCTCTGATCTCCCGCCCTGCATCTGGGACCTCGACTTCGGTCGCTAAGCCTGCAACGCGACGCCGTATCGCCATCAAGGCTGGCGGAAGGTGGTGCGGGATGAGGCGACTACGGAGAGTCACCGAAAGTCCTGAGCGCCAAGACTCCTGCGTCAAGATCTTGGATGTGTAAGCCTCGCTTAAGATTAAGGGGTGGGTCTGGAAGATGCTGTTAGAGCTGCTTCGGAATTGCGCCCGACCTAAGCTTAACTCGGGGCTCGTTGCCCCTCTCCAGCCTAAAAGAACAGCCTACATTTCAATCTATGTGCCCCCTGAAAACAATTCTAGGGCTCCTTGCTACAACGCTGCCTTCCGAAACTTAAGTCAGGTAGGGAGGGTATCGTCGGCTCGGGCATATGTCTCCATGAGCAAAATTCTGTTGAAGGCGATCGTCTGCATCTTCAGGTGATCAGCTAACATGAATCGTGCTTGTTAACATACCGTACTGCCTGACCAATCCACGCATTTTCAACACTGATCCTCGAATCGTCCACCCCTCCACCCCCAAGGCGTCGGTGTCTATTTGTCCATGATGAAGCCCGAATCTGTCGACAGACGTGGGTATACGTCCTAGCTTCCACCCCGCTTGGAATAATTTTGATGATCGAGGGTATCAATCTCATTATCAAAAAATCGCAAATCCAACAGGTGAGTGGTCCTGCAACGCCAGAATCCATACAGAGCAAGGTAATTCTGCACCAAAAATCGCGAAACAAAGATGCGGTTTCCAGAATCGCACGACGATTCGTCGCAGCTTCGCTGAGGTTCAAGACTCTCTCTCTCTCTGCGCGTTTGGCTGGCTCGGTAATGTCCTGTGGCTGACAGGTCGGAACGATCGCTGTACTCTTTCTCAGTTACGATATGATCGCACTCGCCGTCTTCTGGCTTTCGTACATCATGGAGTAGACCCAGACATCTGCACGAAGTCGTGCATACATACACAAGGCAGCCCCTTGGAATTCCGACATCCAGGGGATCGACCGGCAGGACCGATGGCTATTGGACACGGTGAGTGATTGATGGATAGTCAAGGTATAACAGATATTCGCTCAAGCGCTTCCCCACGAGCCCCTAGACTCCCATCTCCGAAAAACGGCTCAGTCAACGGCTTCGGCCTTACCGTTCGAGGCGAAGCCACACATCAGACAAGTCGAGCGCGGCTGTCCATGGCAGCAAGGCCCTGTTCTTGAACCATTGAGCAAGAATGAAGGACTGGCCGCCCTCGCCTTTGACACGCACATACCTCGCGAACGTCGCGGACCGACCACTGAACGAGTAAGTGATACATTCGAGTGCTAATCCCGAGTCAATCAAGACCATGCGCCTTTCCTTTCCCTTCCTTCCCACCCACAACCCCTTCCCTCCCTTCCTTCCTTCCCTCCTTCCCACCCCCCCACAACCCCCCCCCATCTTTCCTCCCTCACAACTGGCCCCAACCCCCACCCCCCCCCAGCGACATCCCATCTTTCCTCCCTCCCTCCCTCCCTCCCTCCCTCCCTCCCTCCCTCCCCCCCCCTTCCTCCCCCCCCCCCCCGTTCCCCGGCCCCGCACAAAGTTCCATCTTCCATCAGTTCACCGTCGTTCAGTCGAGCTTCCGACTTCCCTCTGCCCCCGAGGCTAGACCTTCCCCCCCTCCCAGCCTGCACCGCCAACCACCGCGAATAGGGCTGTGAAAAGCAGCTTTCTCAACACGAGACCCTCCCCCCCTCCCCCCCAGAAAAACGAAATCGAAATCGAACGAGGGAGCGGGGTGGGGGCGGCGGGGGGGGGGGGGTTGGGGACAGAAGAGGACTGGGTTTGAAGTAAGGGAGGCTTTCCCTACCTTTGTCGATTTTTTCACTCGGGAGCTGCATCCAACAAAACCCTGCTTTTGAGCGATTGGGAAAGGGTACGGACGCTACTGGCATGCCCATGCTGCTTTGGACTTTGGCGAGCAAGCAGGCCTAGTTGTTATTCAACGATGCTGGTAATGCAGTGTTGCTTGTTAGATGTCGAAAGAGTACTTGATTAGTATGTATGTTGTGCAAGGGAGGTACGATGCTTATCCCGAGCTCCCGCTTGCATTCTTATCACCAGAGAACCATCGTGTACACATGTTTCATTTGATAGGCTATCTGCCTAAATGATATCTCGAATCCCGGGGAGAAGAGAAAGTGTTCATGCCTTTTAGCTCATGAGCCACATGCCTGTATTACGTGCAAGCGTTCCACCTTTTCCTATGCACTTTCAAATCTCTTATCTGCTGTTTTGACCCGTCTCATTTCTTCACAAGGCTTCCGCCGACTCTACTGCACGATCTGCTCCCTAAGTTTACTCGGGTCCTGCCCCTTCCCTCTCCGTCCCAGGAGTGTTGCATTGTCCAGACTGAGCTCGAAGGCGCCCCTGTTCTTCCTCACTTGCTGCTTCGCTGCCGCCGCAACTGCAGGGCTGTGCTGACCATAGCCGGCTTGCTTTGGCGCAGCTGCCTGTCGTGCTTGTGCAGCAGCACTAGGATTGCCGAGGTTTGTGCTTCTCATTTTCTGTTCCACGCTGCTGACGTCCGCCGCGCCACCCTGCGGTTTAGGCAGCTTGGAGGGCGGGTTTTGAGCCGGTGCCAAGTCATCATCGAGGTCGTCGTAGTCGTCATCATCATCTTCGTTGAGCGGGTTGAGGCCGTTCATTCCAGCTGCACCACGGTAGCCTTGCGGGAAATTCTTGCGACGCTTCCCTTCTTCTTCTTGACGGTGAACGGCGTAGCTGACATCGAAGACCTCACGCAGATTGACAGCGCCAGGGGAGCGGAAGTCTACGCGGCGTTGATGACCACCTGGTGTTTCGAGGTATTGGCTTGCGAGAGCATCCGGCGGTGTTGTGCCACCGTGCTTTTGGTTCCCGAAGCCGTATTCCTTCTGACGAGTGTAGAGAGGGGTGGCGAGGGGTGGAGCGTCGGCCGCGGCGTAGGTTTCTTCTCTGGTGTTCCGGATCCATGGGTGGTTGAGGAATTGCTGGATGGTGTACCGTCGTTCAGGATCAACAGTGAGGAGATGTGAGACGAGATCTTGCGCAGGCTTGGATATGTCATCCCACCACGGCGAAAGGAAGGTATATTGGCCTCGTGCCACTTTCTCGGTAAGGACCTGAATGCTCTCGTCGTAGAAAGGGGGAAACCCGCAAAGCAGCGTATATAGAACGCATCCCAATGCCCACATATCAACGCTCTTCGAATAGCGTTCATCCTTCACAATTTCCGGTGCTGTGTATCCAACGGTACCACATGGCGTCATGGTCTGGCTGTCCCAGATGACCTTCGACAACCCGAAGTCCGCGATCTTGATCGTCCCGATACCTCCCGCTCCAACACCCTTGATGAATTCTCCCTCATCTTCCTTGTCTTCGTCTTCAGCCGATCGAGGTTTGGGGTGTCTCGTAGGAATAAAAGTAGTGGGGTAGAAGAGGAGGTTTTCAGGTTTAATGTCTCTGTTCAAGAATCAGCATCTGCATCACAGGTAGCGTGATGTCCACATACCGGTGTACAACACCAGCAGTCTCGTGTAGATATTCCAGAGCCTCCGCGACCTGCACAATAACGTGACGACTGAGGTCTTCACTGAAGTATGTCAATCTGACAATCTGATGGAACAGCTCGCCTCCAGGGCAGAGCTCGAGAACGATGTAGTAGTACTGCCGAGATTCCGAGAAGTCGATGAGTCTGACAATGTTGGGATGGTCTAGTTGCCGCATGATTTGAACTTCTTTGAGAATATTTGCTCTCTGCGTAAAGGGAAAGAGAATCAGTAGGAGTTTTTCGTGGAGAGGTCAATGTGAACAAGGCAAAGGCGCATAGCAGCAGATGTATAAGGAATGCGATGCGCACCTCCACAACCTTGGGTTGCTTTTTGAAGTCCGGATGTAGATGGTTGTCGCCCTATTGCACCATCTGATGTTGGCAAGGCGTCGCAGTGGACGATATGTTGAGGGAGGGTGGCAATGCGTGGATTGCAATGCAACACATGAGAAAGGAGAGACGTCGGTGCCGATGCCAAACTTACCTGTGTGGAGTTCATCTCGAACTTGCGGACGACTTTGATGGCAACCTCGGGTCCATGGCCGTTAGCTTCCCTGGCACGGTATACGTTGCTGAAGGCACCGTCGCCCATTTTCTCCAACAGGGTCCACCGTTCCAAGCCGGGATACTTTGGCAGCTTCCCTTGGCTTTCCCTCTCTTCCGCAACGATTCTCTCGATGACTGACGGGTCAGTCTCTTTTCCTGATCGTGACACGGTTTCAGCGTCGCCGATTCTTTGCTTGTCACCCGCTGCTCTGGCGGCAGCACCACCTGCCTGGGCGGCAACATTTCGATTGTCGATGTTTGCTGCTGAGTAGTCTGCGCCGGGAACGTTTCCGTGTTGTAATGGTTTGTGGTC